TGCCATTCTGGAAGTTATTACTGTGGGTGATTGACACAGATGATGCTGGAGATTTATCCAAACTAAGGAATTACAAAGTTCACCAATGCTCGACCTCAAATGAATTATTTGATACCAGTTTAATGTAAGGAGCCCAGTGGTGGTCCCGGCTAGTTACTCTCTTGGTCTGTGTACGCATACCTCGTAGGTAGTAGATGTGCTTGAAGCTTTGCCTCCTTGTACGTTTTTCACTCAGTTCATGGGTCAGACAGCTCTTGCTTGCGGCTGTCGTATGTCACAGTGGGGCTCTTGTGACCATTATTCTCAGCAGTGTATCTATTACCGGGACATCAAGGTGTAGCTATTGACCCTTTATGGCTATGATTCCGTATATTTGTCTTCTCTGTCTGTTGGCTCCGTAGACTGTTTACGTCTACACTGTAGGTCTCCAGTGTTTGTGAACTGCTGTGTGAGTAAAATCCATGATTACTGTGCTTCAGCAACACATTATGCATGCCTTGGTCGATGAAACGTCCGACGAATTAGTGCAATGGAAATAAACTTTTGACTACAGTTCTTGCGAACTTATGCCCCGACACATGGAAGTATCGCAGTAAGTGGGGTCTTAATATACTCTTCCAAGATCGCAAGGATCGCTACCTTCCTGGTACTGATACATACATTATTAAGTGTTCTTGCTGAGTTTGAGGCTTAGTTTAATGGCTTCTGTAGTGCAGATCTTGAGAGAGTGTAGACTCGATAACCAGCCTAGTGTGCTAGTTTTAGGCTTGCAATTTGCGAGAATAGAAGATATTCAATCATGCTATTACTCTCTGGCTGCAGGTGATCGTGCCGTGTGTATATATTGAGGGTATGAGGGAGATAAAGTGGATTAGCATTCATGCTGTTTGTGTTATGTAATCTAGTCTAGCTATCTGTCACTGTGTGTTGGAATAAGTGTATAGTAGCTAAGTCCTGGATCTCAATGTACGTGTTTACAAGCAACAGAGCGTCATTCATCATCGCTCAGAGTCCCATGCATGCCACAGCCGAGATTTCTGGAAGATGTCCATGAAACGGAAGTGTGGAGTCTGTGTTATGCTCTGTTTGACTTGGTATGAAGACTGGACGGTGAACCTTTGTTGTGTGTTCATAACGTATAGGAGTTGTGGTCGTTGTAGGAGACGTGTTTTATCAATACTGGTCTACGACAGGAGTAGCTCAGTTTGGAGAGTATACAGTTTGATCTGCCTTCGCGGAAAAGCAGTCGAAAGGGATTCCTCCTCCGTAAAAATCACTGTTTACAATGTTAAGTTAGACGTGACCATCCTTAATCACTTTTAACACAACTGCTATTATTTGTGTGCAGACAACTGCTGGAGCTCATCAGGTGTCCAACTACAACATGTAAACTGGAGTCCTGATGGGGGAAGCTTGCTCAAACCTCCCCACAATCACTAGTGTGATACGTTGAGATGGACTGATAATCAAATGAAGACTGGGAATCACCAATTGTATTCATTGCAGGTGGAGCATGTTCATTCATGTAGGCACACTAATGAATGGATTTGGTATCGTTGTACATTTATGAGCATTCAATTTGAGTCGTATAAATGGACTCCAGGGGGTGACACCTTCTTGCATGTGTCTTGAATGACCTTTGAAAAATAGGTGCACATTTTCTTCTGCGTGACACATTTGGTATGTCTGGGTTTCTGTGCATGATCACCACCATGAGAGGTGTAGAGACAGACAGGGAGTGTGTGGATGTGATTCCTAGGGGTCAAGGCTCTCAGTACAGAAACCTGGATCTGTCCTCACTGTGGTGGTTTTATCTATTATATCTACTTCTACATTGTTCTTTACACTTTTGCAAGTACATTAGCATATAAAAAAAATGCCTTGCAGTTGAGCTTAGACATGCCTATAGTCTATGTCTGTTTAGACGGCACAGTGTTTTTTGGCTATTGTCCCACTGCATTTCTCTCTTACGGCTCAGTACCGCCTGTTGTTTGAGGCAGTGTGGGTGTATCTGGAATCTTTGATACGATCAGCAATTTTGTACGTAAATAGGATGTCTTTTAGCGGCCAAACACTGTAGCCAACTTTGCATTTATTAACAACCTGCTTTTGCTGGAGCATGCGCATTGATGAGCAAATTACGTGTTTCCATGGAAAAGCTCGCAAACGCTTCAATCTGATTGGTCAATCACATCCATTGTTCAATCCGGACTGGACAAAATACATCAGATGCCTAAAATTTAGGCAAATGACGAAAAAATAATTTTAAAAAATCTCTCTCACTCTGAAATCAAGCTATATGAAAAAAATATTGGGGAAGGTTATGCTGGCAGGCACTATAGGAGTCGGAAAGAACGCTACTGCGCATAGTTGAGACCGGACCGTTCAGTCCTGGTGAAGTCGCGCACTGGTTTTCTCTCCCATAGAGAATGTATGGAGGATGAATATGAATATGCTAATGAACTGGGAGTGAAAAATCAGAGACAGGTACCAAAATTCACTATAATTCAGAGCGTTTTAGCAAAAATAACTAATGTATCGACGCCCACGCAATTAGGGTGAATTTTGAGCTATATAGGCCTATGGTGTGAGTTCATAACCGTTTCTGTATTATTGGCACGTCATGTGGTGGTGTGGGGGATATTATGGTACTGTGTCAATCATGAAGGTATTGAGGAGGATTTTGTGGCCTGGTGGAAAGAGCTAAAGGCTCGGCTGCTTCCAGTGTTGAATGGTTCGTCTCCCATCAGCTCTCTGGACGGTCCTCAGCCACATCAACCTGCTCAGGACAGTGTAAGAGAGAGAAACTGCATGGAAGCATGTCATGTATTCTCGATCCCTACTGTAGCTGCTCAGCACACCTGTCACCAATAGTTAACCCGTTAAGTGCATAACATATACATGTGGAGGGGTCAATGTATCGTCTGTCCCCATTTTAGATTAAACCCGGATCTAATGCTGTAGATGCCATGCCAGTAAGGGTGTGCTTTGTAGCAAGAAGTTGAAGTGCTTGAATGTTTCTTCTGTGAAACACATTGGAAACCTCTTTCTGCATTTGTTAGACTGCTTGTCACTTAGTAATCACGTAAACCCATAGCTAGGCCTATAGGACCTTGGAGTGTGGGTTCGTACGGCCCTAGTTACACATGTGTTGTCATTGTACAGGAGGTTCTATGGGAGTCAAGTAGTGAAGAAGAGGGAGAGGAGGAGGAGGGGGGAGGGGAGGGTGGGAAGAGGGAAAGTGGGGTGGTGGATCTTGAAGATGTGGGAGACATGCTACGTAAGGCAAGGCCACCTCGTGCTAGCAGAGAATTGAAGATCAAGAGAAGAGGGGAGAGGAGAGAGATGGTAACTCCATTGCTCAGGAAAACCCTTAGTAAACAAGGTGTGTACAGTAATGCATACTGCATAGTACATATGACGTGTTCATTGGTTATGTGACTCGGGGGGAAGCATTTAACCAACTCTTAGTGCATGGCTGATTCGAATCGACCAATCAGATTTGTTAGTACGAGGTTCCTGATTTCTCATATGAACCTCGTGAGCTAACAAAAGTAACATGAAAACATGATATGAAACCTTGTTTTTTCTGTTGATTTTCAACAAGTTCAACAGCATTTCATGTAAGAAATGTATCCCGCAAAACATGATCTGTACAAAATGTTGATCAAAATAACTGATATCTTTGATTTTTTCCACGAAGACAGTTTTCTGTGTCTGCTTTGAGCCCATCTCCCTCCTTGCCATGTATATACATATTAGATAGCCAGGCAGCTCACGCCCGCCACAAACCACCGCACGCAAATAAGGGGGTGGGGCTCCGCGAGCGAGTGCGCGCGACAAAGCTAGTAAGTCGACGGCGAACGCCTTCGGTATAGCAGCCCGCACAGCGCCTGAATTCGCCTCTCTCTGATTGCGATGGTTCGCGCAGGTCTCCTGTCGCGTTTCTTCGGATGAGTGGCGGAGGACAGTCCCGCAGCGGGAGTAGCTAGAGCGGCGGAGCAGCGTATCCTAGCGTTCGGCGTTCAATAGTCCCGCACGAGATGACGGTCTTGCGCTCTCGTCTCTTTCTCGCATCTTTCAAATTCCCTGTGCTTGGAAACGCAGTGCGCGTATACGGAGCTCATTTGCTCTGCACTAAACATGTTATGTACTCCGTATACTCGGGACATACCGGATTTCAATGAACCCTCGAGCCATCCGCGTAGTGCCCTCGCTGCGCTCGGGACACTACAAACGCGGAGGCCCTCGGGTTCATTGAAATCCGGTATGTCCCTCGCACGTAGTACATAACATATATTTATTGTGGGAGTGGAGGGAGAATAAAGTGCATACCCAGGGTAATCATCTTTTCGGCAGAAATTCCAGGTAGGAAAATGGGTAAGCTGAAAGCAGCTTCTACTGAGATGATGTAGGTTTCTCCATTAGTGAGACCAGAGATTTCAGTACTAGATGTGTTTCCACTAACTGTCTTAGTCCCATTTCCACCAGTTCCCCCAGCAAGGAGATAGTGTACTCTGTACGACACTGGGAGTTGTTCTGGTATTGGAGACCAGGTCACTCTAACAGTAGTGGGAGCTGTTTGCTCCAGTGAGGTTATGACAGCTACAGTAGAATAACACAGGGTAGATATTCTATAAAAACGTTAAAAAAAAGACTTTTACCTCCTACAGTTACATTAGCAGTTGTTGATGTAACACTAGTGACATTGCATTGGAATACATCTCCAACTCTGCCACTGGATATGACATCTGTCATGGCAGTGTATCTGTCACTGCCCAGGTACCTCCTAGTACCCACTGCCTGTATGTTGGTACTGATGTCAGAGTTGAATCCATTAGGTCCAGAGACAGCCATGTTCAGAGCTCTCCCACCAGTGGAGGTACACCTCACTCTGAATGTCGATGTTTCCGCCTCCACCTCAATAGCTGCAGTTACCTCAGTGACTGGATGAGAGGAACCATACAAAACATCTCTCACTACAAACCATTGATAGATGGCCACTCACTGGGGTAGAGGATGTACAGCCCTAATACAGGATTAATGTCATCAAGCATATGACAGTTGATATATCCTTCCTCTGGAGTTTCCCATCTTCTCCACAAGTAATGTGCTCTACGACCACCTTCATCAGATACTCTCATTCCACTCCATCCTCGAGTTATACTATCGACAGCATTACTAATTCTTATGTACTCATAGTCTGGCCAAAGACAAGGGACTGGACTATCTCCGTCAGCGACATGACATGCAGTAGTAAATTGAGAAACTTCAGACACAGACAGTTCAGACTGACACCTCATAGCTCTGTCGAAATCACCATTTGAACTCACAAACTCAAAGTCGTACACACTTCTCTTTGATATGTTATTGTTTGGAATAGGCTCGCCATTCAGGGAGATGGTTACACCTGCAGTGATTATGAGCATGAATGGTTGTAACAGACGTAGGCATCCTACCCACAAAATATAAGCCTTTTGCTACAAAAAGACTCCCCCATGCCACTACCATATTCCCCTCATTTGTTGAGAACCTGAGATGCGTATTCCCCATACCATTTGAAAGGGCACACAGTATTGTTAAGCACAAATATCCCACATCAAGCACATTTTACACAATTTTCAAACAAAAAGTTTTTTGCAGGTTATTAGGGAGCTATGTCCTCTATTTTTCTCACCGGTTACACCTCCATGATTCGCACATAGCTAGAGCAATTCTTACCATCCACACTTAGTGTAGTCCAAGAACACACACTTAGCAGAGCCACTAGCAAGACAGGAACTTGCATTCCTCGAACCTCAGTGAGCAAATTGCAAAACCAGTGGTTGGCACGACTTCTGGGCCACTGCAGTAAGTAACTACACCACAGTTTGCGTAAGGGTTTGCCAAAGTTTCACAGGAAGTAAAACACACAAACACCACACACAAAGAATACATGGAGAAACTAATGCTGCGTTCGCACTACAATCCACATTGAGCGCATGGGATCTATGCGCATTGTATCCTGTCCGCACTAGCCGGTTTCGAGATTATTGCGCGTGGCGCGTTTACTACGGGATCGATCGAAACAATGTCACGTGCAATGCGCGCGCCGCGTAAAAATTGCGTAGTAACGCGCGGTTGCGTATAATTATGTTCCCGCTCTAGCTATATACGCAACGAAAAATGGAAGCTACTCTCCTTTTTGCAGTGCTGCTGTGGAGTTTTTACTGGAGAATAAAGACTCAGAATGGAGACAATAGAAGAAAGGGAGCAAAACGATTGGAAAATAGAAGGAAAATTAGAAGAGAGGCATTTCTTGCAGAGAGAAGGCGTAGGTAAGTATTAGTGCTTTTCTAAATGCTGATGAACTTGAACGTGATATTTCGGTTAGGTGGGTGTTAGTATTGTTTCAGAAGAAACCTCCAAGGATCTGGTGTAAAGCAAGAAGCAAGGACTGGCGAATGCATGTACTAAGCGGTGGCTATTGTGATGCATGATGGAAAGAGAATTTACGCATGTCTCGTGAGACGTTCGACACAATAATTCGCGTGGATTCGCATTGCACCCCTAGTGCGGACGGGATTGATGCGCGTCAACACGGGTTCATAAGGTAAAGTGCGGACACGCCTTTAAAGGATCCATGGTCAGTGTTGTAGGTGAGTATATGAAGGTACCATGATAGGTGTAATGCGCATGCGCTCTAGTAACGAGTTTTTGACTGGACCACTACCAGCTTCATTATAGAGTGTTACAGTGATGGTGTACCTATTCCCCTCGTCTAGTCCAGTTATTGTATAGCTAGTGAAGCTGCCAGTCGTGACAATGTTTCCCTCATCCTCATTAGAACAGCCACGTGAGGTGTCTCTCTGCCACAGGACCAAGAACCCAGTCACCACTGAGTCACTGGGGACACTACCAGTGATGGTGACAGTAGTGGCAGTGACTGTTGGAGTTGCGTCAATGAATGCAGCTGGTGGAACTGTGGTGGGAGCAAAATATCAGAGTACACACACTGATTGTTTGTGGGGTGCTCATTGTAAACTTAAACACCTACCTGTGTAAGCTATGACATACATAAACTAACAACCACCAATGGTGCACCATAAAGCAAACCAGATGATGTGTCAACAATGGATATGGTGTCCATTGGTGACACCAGTCAGAGGGTCAGCTGTTCAGTCAAATGTTACATCTCCAGATATCGGGATGTTCCCTACAGTGAAATGCTAGCCAATTTGTAAAAGGCTACTAGCTCCAATCACACAGCAGCCATAAGGGAGATTCATCCTAATTGGATCGTTCTGACTGGGGTTTGAGGGGTTAAACATGCTGTGATACTGTGCAAGTTTCACTGTGTTATGATGGTATGAGGTGGCTATAAGTACATACATACAACAAATGATACAAATCCAATGCATAGTTTTTGTGTGACATAAGAAAAACCCTCCTTTTCAATGTATGGCAAAGTGCATTCTCAACTTGAACATACTATAGGACCCAGTGACAGTGACTCAGGTGGTGTGTTCAAGGAACATGGAGCAGCCACTCATTGTCGCTACAGTGGAGGGGTAGGTAAGGTGTATACTTTACAGCCCACTATTTGCTCTTTATATGTGTGGTGCTACCAGCATTTTGATCTTTCCCGACTGCTGACTAAGTCTCAAATCTGATCAATCTCCATGTGCATACACTATTAATGAAAATTATAGATGGTGTAATGAGTAAGCATAGTCTTCATGGAGTCTGGAAGCTACATAATATGAACATTAGAACAAAGTTTTTGGATGAGAACGTCCACGAGTGCAACCATTGAACTGCTCTACATGATTATTGCATTATCTTGTGTGGCTTCGCCATCATCAGATTTTACCGAGAATTGTATAATTCAGATGACTAAAAGTCTATTCGCGTTCACCTTGCCGGTAGGAAATCTGGCGTAATGTAGCTAAACAGCGACCGATTTCGAAATTTCAAAGCTCAGCGTGGTTGTAGTTGAGCGTAGGTCTGCTTTGCGAGCGCGTCCAACGCCCACTTACGTACTTAGTTGTATGTCACATAAGCAAAGTACGCGACGTTCCTTTGACCACAAAAAAATTCTATCATGCGGGTCCAATGTGCGCGCTTACGCGTAGAGTGTGCGCGCGTAGCGCAGCGCGAGCAAGAACCCTCTCTCCCCGCTGCTACTGCGGGAGCCCAGACCAAGGAAAAGGCAAGAATGAGAGGCGAATGACAGTGTAAAGGTCAGTACAAACCGTCTTTACTAGATAAACTCACGAGAACGCATGCGCGACATCCACTGCCCACAAATATTCGCGATATCTCAATTGTGACGCAACCTTGCGTAAACAGTTTTGACTAGTGCACTTCCGGCGGCAAGGTGGGCTTGCCTTTGTGTACATTTTGCTTATACTTCGAAAAGAGCCCTGTGGCAGATTATTTCCATTTTTACAATACTTGTCAGGAGTTCATTTTGGACGGGGCGGGGTGGGGAAGGCCCCTTGCTCCCTTGATTATATCTTGCCCCCTGGAGTTTAGCAAACACAGGGCTTTGCCCCCCTCTTGTTGAACCCCTACCAGCTGAGTTGCCCTGGTAGCTCAGTTGGTAGAGTACTCACCTAGACTGCAGAGTGTCGTGGGTATGAATCCCACCCAGGGCAACTCTTCTTCTTTTCTTTGAAAGGAAGGAGCAGTCCTAGATGTAGTTGACTTGTTTGCCGTGCCTTGCTTTTCTACCTTGCTGCCTAGTTGTTGAGACATGACTACTCATTTTGCCCCTGTTGGATCAACCTCTAATGAACGTCTGTTTGTGTGTCCAGGAGCTCAGAGCTGGTGGTGTTGCAGCTGTCATCTGATGGAAGGTTCAAAAGGTCACCTGCCACAGTCACCCTGTCTGTGTCTCCGTGGAGCTGTGCATTTGATTGGTCGGACCGACTGTGGGTGTGTCTGCCCAATCAGCAAGACCCCACACAGCTCTGGCAGTTTAAGGGTGGAAAGGCATGTATATAGCATAGACTCCACCAAATTTCTATAGCTGTGTGCTTTGGACAATACATTTTGATGGGCATACTAGATGTGTCAGTGCAACTCACAATTGGTAAGAGCTATGTGAACGAAAGTTTGTATAAATTAAAAATCCTGCGAACTTAAAAAAGAAGCATATAGGGATGGTATAAAAAGAAAGGGAGACAAGATAGGGATGGGATACATGAAGCATAGTTAATGAACAGATTTGAGCACGCTGACACCCCCAACCCCATCACACAATCCCTATATTATTGTTGCCTAGGTGAAGTATTAAACATTCACCATTACAATACTCAGCACTTTTAATACAAAAAAGTCATGCTACTGAGTAACCAGCACCGTCATAGAATCCAAGTGGAGTTTAATTAAAGAGACTGTGGCAGTATACGAAGTAGAAATGTTACCAACAACAACAGGGGGACAGTGAAAGAATGCTTGCTTTTAGTAACCTTTAGTCCTTATATAATGCCACATTCCTAATAAGAGTAGCACACCAGGCAACAATATAGGGATTGTGTGATGGGGTTGGGGGTGTCAGCGTGCTCAAATCTGTTCATTAACTATGCTTCATCCCATCCCTATCTTGTCTCCCTTTCTTTTTATACCATCCCTATATGCCTATTTTTTTTTAATTCGCAGGATTTTTTATTTACTTGTGTACTAGTGTAGTAGATACTGCGAGCAAGCTATAGCGAGAAGCCATGACTAGACTCAGTTTATCAGTTAGCTGTACAGAACCAATAATTATTAAACATGCATATGGGAGAAGCAACACCCGCGTCTGTACTGTGCATTTGATTGGTCGGACCGACTGTGGGTGTGTCTGCCCCATCAGCAAGACCCCGCACAGCTCTGGCAGTTTAAGGAAAGGCATGAATATAGCATACTCCACCAAATTTCTTTCATATTTATAGCTGTGTGCTATGATTTTTGGAGCCACAGTTAACTTTGTGTTCACGTTGACTGTATATATTCCTATTTTCATGGATTTTTGTATTGCCTAACTTATGAAGTCTGCGCGACTGAATGGACTTGTGTTTCTGAGATCTACTATTCTATGAACTTCAATACAGGTTCATACTCTCTCTCTGTTTCTTACAGTGTCAGTGATGTTCAAGTCCACTTCAAGAAAAGCTTAGCAACTGGGATACCTTCAGAGGAAACTTACCTACAACAGGGTTTTTTCTAAGGGAGGAACAAAGCTGTGGGTGGAGCCAAACTTTGACAAGTACTGCAGGTCGTATTTTGTGATTTGAAGGTGGCTAAAAAATTGGCGGGCAGTTCATCCACTGAAGGACGCTGCAGAAAATAGCGACACCCGCAGTTTCAGCACTACACTGCCTTGGTTTATTTTTCGTAAAGAGCTAGCTACGGATTGAAAAGCAAATCAACAAGACAATAACTATGCTAACGAGGAGCATTGCCATAATTCAACTTGTTCCTTATCTACTAGTGTAGCAGCTGCTGTGTTAGACTCGGAGCAGCTAGACCATGACTAGCACCTGTGGCCCAGCTAATCAATTAGCTGTACAAATCCAACATATCTACAGGAGAATTTATGTATAGTGTGCTGAATATGGAAGTTGAAACATTTCGTATTTGGAGAAGTAAACGGTTATAGATTGCTGCACGTATGACCAATGGAAACTGATTTTGTAACATTTCTCCTCCGCAATAAATGGTAAATATAATATACAAAAATTGCAAAGAGTTTAAGGGGAAGGGGGATTTTGAGTAATCTTTTGTACTTATTTAATCAAGTGTGTCACTTGAATATTTGAACTCGATTGTTGGATGTGTCACTGACAAAGACATAGCCATCATCTCTGACAGCTATGGAAAATGGACCACTGAACTCTCCATCTTTGTTCCCTCCCTTCAGCAATGACTTGATGTACTTGCCATTCTCATCAAATATTAATACTCTGGGATAGCTTTGTTCAACCACATACACCCAGTCATCAGGTCCAACTGCCACACTGACTGGTCCTCTTAGTCTCTCTTCTGCTCCAGTGCGAGTGATGGATGACAGATGATGGCCATTGGCATCGAAAATCTGAACTCTCTTATTCAAATAGTCGGCTACTAATACATTTCCTCTTCTGTTGACAGATATTCCCCAGGCTGGTTGAATTGACCTGCCCCACTTCCCACACTTCCAAACCTGCCATGGAATGTCAAGTCATGGTTGAGGATTGTGATGCGATGGTTGAAAGTGTCACAGACATACAGTCTGTTGTTGGTGTGGTTGTAGGCTATGGCAAATGGTGTGTGTGACTGCAGTCGTCCACTGCCCTCTGAACCCACTGATGCTATGAACTGACCCTCAAGAGTGAATTTTTTCACACTATGATCCCCACCTACTACAATCAATGTGTTATCAAAAGAGATGGCTACTCCTCTTGGTTCAAAAAGTCTGCTTTCCTCTGGTCCTGTGTTTCCAAACGATCGCAACAGCCTGTGATTACTGTCAAAGACTTTCATACAGTTAGCATTTCGCTCACATACAACGGTTTCCCCAGTTTTGGCAAAAGCAATATGACGTGGGTGCTTTACTTCACCAATGGTCTTGACATGAGTACCTCTAAAGATGGTTTCAAACTTCACTTCTCCTAATGTCTGACATGCTGAGCTCAAGTCTGCACACACCGCACTAATCTCCTTCTCTGGACCCAACACCAGTTGCTGAGGTTTGAACTCCTCTGCCATCTCCCGTGCCCTCTCCTCCACTTGTCTCTTCATCGACAGCACCTCCTCTTGTGTGCCACTCTGCAGACTCCCCTCCACAAACTCCACACAGCTGCTCAGCTGGGCCTGCCTCAACTCGTGTCTGTCAATCCGGGCCACCAACTCCTTCTTCACTTGGCACACCTCACCATCTATCTGGGAGTGAAGCTCCCTCCTGCGAGCCTCTAGGATTGCCTGGAGCTTGTCTACTCTATACCCTGCCCATCTAGCCTGCTGGACCTTGCCTTTAGCTGTGAAATGGTGCCTCCTACACTAGCAAGTTCAGATTTGACCGGACCTATAGGCAGGCAAGGATGGCATCTCTGTGCTTGGGGAAGGTGTCCGAGACGAGGTCGTAGTTGTGGTCACGATGGGTCTTGACGGTGCAGTCGCGACAGATCAGCTCATCGCACGTCTCGCAGTAGATCTTGATGGGCTCTGTTGTGTGCTTGCAACACGTGGAGCTCATCTTTTTGGGCGTAACCATTTTCGAGGCTGTTTCTTGAACTTGGACGAGGGTGGATATTTCGTGCCCCTGCAATTCTTTCCATTTACGATGCGTAATGTAATGAGGCAGTGCTGGCAAATAAACTGGCCACAGTCTCGACAGAAACCCTGCACCTCTCCCTCCCCACACTTGTCACACTGTGCCTTCTCCGGGTCACACGCCTTCTCCAAGACCTCCCTCATTTCGAAATGGTGTTGGATGTAGAAGGCATAGGGCAGGCTGGACACGCTCCCTTCGGGGAGAGGGGCAGGCTTGGGGCAGTTGGGGCACATGGCGCTCAGTTTGTCTCTCTCTGTCCCCACCAGTTTCTCCAGACAGGCCTCGCAGAAGACGTGGAGACAGGGCAGTACTCTTGGTCTGCAGTACTCCTCCAGACACACCGAACACGCAGCTGGTTCGATAGCTTCTCTAGTGCTTGCTGGGCTGTAGTGGCTTGCGGTTTTTCGGCCATTATTGCGGAAAGCACACAAAGATATCTACATAGAAGTAGGTACACACATCATAGTTGCGAAGAGTACTGTTTCTGTTTAACTGGGCTCCATACTGTTTACTTGTCAAACAGAACTTCAACGGCAGCATTCCACAGATCAAAAAATAGGAGACACTCTAGGTTTACAGGCATTCAAAGAAAGTTTGCCAACTTGAAAAGAGGCACGAGGCAGTCAGCGGGGAGAGCCCTAGGCTTTCTAGATGATATCTCGTAAGTGTCCCCCTGGAGCTTAGCAAACAGATACAGGGCTTCTCCTCCTCCTAATTTTGCCGCCCCCTTCATGATTATTAATTTTCGTCCCCCGTTGGATCAACCTCTAATGAACGCCCTGTTTATGTGTCCAGGAGCTCAGAGCTGGTGGTGTTGCGCAGCTGTCATCTGATGGAAGGTTCAATAGGTCACCTGCCATAGTCACCCTGTCTGTGTCTCTGTGGAGCTGTGCATTTGATTGGTTGGACCGACTGTGGTGTGTCTGCCCCATCAGCAAGACCTCGCACAGCTCTGGCAGTTTGAGGGTGCAAATTGTATGAATAATAGTGGCTTAGAGTACGGCCGTTTGAAATACTGGTGAACTAGGAGAATCTAGTCCACTTAGTTTCCTCTGTAGGATGAGGAGGAACACTAAGTAGAACAAGCAATACTATTGAGTAACACTACTGAACAGTGTTGCCTTCGGAAACTTTTCATTCCACTGAATGACGAACGTTGCACTGTACATTCTCATAACCGCTTATACCATTAGTGCATAGCTGGTTTAAATCGAGCAATCTGATTGGTCCACACGAGGTACTTGATTTCCCGTAGTATACCTGGGACGCTCCATAGTAAACCTTGTTTTTCATGTAAAAGTTTCACATGAAAAATGACAAGATCACGTACATAATCTACAGAAACATGTAGCTTTATCGTCTACAATAATTCTTCTTTAGTTTCAACAGTAGGCACAGAGAGACAACAAGTCTGGGCCTAGCTGTACGTAAGAGCCTGTACGCTAGCGCTAGCGGTACGTCACGCCCGCGGATACGTGCGCGTAGAGTGGGCGGAGCCCTTTTCCGCGAAGCGCGGCGGACGTAACGACCGGCGGGTGCTGTATATAGCTTCTGCCTACCGTTTCTGGCTCGCCGCTGGTGGCTGAAACCTCGCTCGAGTCGGTTACCAATCGCGTCTTCACGCTCATTCGAATTTCAGTCGCCTGGAAACGGGCGCTGTGCGTGTGCGGATTTGTCTGCTCTGCACTAAACATGTTAGTTACTCCGTATAGTCGGGAACTACGGGATTTCAATGAACCTCCGCGTAGTTGCCCTCGCTGCGCTCGGGACACTACAACGCGGAGACCCTCGGGTTCATTGAAATCCCGTAGTTCCCTCGTACGGAGTAACTAAATTTAGACCGCAGTCACGCGCAATTGACCAATCAGATTACAGAATTGCGGGGGTTTATTTTTCATAGACACCTCGTTTCAGGTGTCCAATGGCGTTTGCAGGTGGTCTACAGCAAACTCCCCGTACAAAATGGCTATTCTCAAAAGTCGTTATCTGCGCAAACCGGCCGATTCCACGTCCGGTAAGCGTAGAAGGCGCGACTGGTAAAGTAGCTCTTTTAAAAATGCGTAGTACACTTGCAAGAAGTCTGTGGACAGTCTCCGGAGCTCGCGAAAGTCAGAAATCACGTCAATATTCTACGAAAAAAGCGTCGGCCTCTTCAGCTCTGGCGATACACAAACACATTGGGCCGTTGCTAACCCTTTCAAACGCGCACTACCAATGAGGGCGTTTTATGATGACGTAAACGATTTTTGACGGGGGGCGGGGCTGTCTCCTCGGAGTTAGGACAAAATCTCACACGTAAAAAAGCGTCTTGTTCCATCCGAAGGTAAGAATGAGCGCAGCGTTGCTAGCTTGTTGCTACCCATTTGAACGCGCAAACACCAACCAGATACTTCGGTCTAAACCGGTTAGACGCGGAAGCTCGGTGTCAACGTTACATTGCAACCCTCGGGGCATGTGGGTAGCGCCCTCGCTGCGCTCGGGACGCCAACATTCCACAGCCCCTCGGGTTGCAATGTAGCGTAGACACCTCGCTTCCGCGTCTAACCTATAAATAGGTTAGATGCGGAGCCGAGGTGACTACGCGTGGTAGAGTGCCGAGGGCTCCCGAGCTGTCGGCGTCCCGAGCGCAGCGAGGGCGCTACTAGGGAGCCCGAGGCACTCTACCACGCGTAGTTACCGTGGCGACGCGTCTAACCGGTTTAGATCCATTCAAACTGTTTGCGAAGATATGGCCACGCCAGGCGAGCTGTTCAGCGACGAGATACTATCTTGTCTAGACCAGGAAGACTCCGAGAAGGACTCGACATACTCGTGCTTGCCGCGAGCCAATCCTCGAACGCTCTGCAGATACGTGCACGTAGAGTGTGGGCGGAGCCCTTTTCCGCGAAGCGCGGCGGGCGACGAAGGAGTGCTGTAGCTTTCGCCTACCGTTTCTGGCTCGCCGCTTGTCGCTGAAACCTGGCTCGAGTCTCTTACCTATCGCGTCTTTACGCTCGCTCCCCAATAGATCCCGTCGTCCGGGGCAGCGGGATCTACGGAAAATAGATCCCGCGTTTGGACCAATGAAATTGCCCGATTTCAAATCACCAGGATCTAAATATAACTATAATTACTTCTCCACTCCTCAAACTTGCTAACGGCAGCACACATGGATGGTATGCATTTCATTTCCATGACGACAACAGGCATTTTTTCTATTGTTAATTTTTATAGGGGCTTGCCCCCTTCCACAGAGATAATACGTAGTAGTATATAAAAATGAGTGGAGACAAGTAAATAAAAAATCCTGCGGATTAAAAAAAGAGTGCATATATATATATATAGGGATGGTATAAAAAGAAAGGGAGACAAGATAGGGATGGTGTTTGTGGAAGCACAGAGATGCTAGCGAGGAGTTAGGACTCCCACAGGTCAAGAAACCATCACTAGCGTGCAGCTCTGTACAGACGTGAACATGCAATGGGAGATGTAACACTTGGGCGAGTGTGTTTGTAGTTCGCTGTAGATTGGCGCTTTAATTTTTTATTGAAATTGAAATTTGAAGAATTTCTTCTGTGCAATATTTAGCAGTTAATACGTAGATACACAAATTGTACACAAAGAGTTTAACGGGTGAAATTTTGAGGCATACTTTCTACGTGTTTCTTGTCACTTGAATATTTGAACTCGATTGTTCAATGTGTCACTGACAAAGACATAGCCATCATCTCTGACAGCTAGGGCATGTGGACAACTGAACTCTCTATCTTTGTTCCCTCTCTTCCCCAGTGACTTAACATACTTGCCATTCTCATCAAATACTGATACTCTGGGACAGCTTTGTTCAACTACATACACCCAGTCATTAGGTCCAACTGCCACACTGATTGGTCTTCTTAGTCCTTGTCCTGCTACAGTGTGAGTGATGGATGACTGATGACGGCCATTGGCATCGAAAATCTGAACTCTCTTATTGAAATGGTCAGCTACTAATACATTACCTCTTCTGTCGACAGATATTCCCTCAGGGTGGTTGAATTCACCTGCCTCACTTCCCACACTTCCAAAAATGCCATGAAATGTCAAGTCATGGTTGAGGATTGTGATGCGATGGTTTAAAGTGTCACAGACATACACTCTGTTGTTGGTGTGGTTGTAGGCTATGGCACATGGTGTACTGAACTCCAGTCGTCCACTGCCCTCTGAACCCACTGATGCTATGAACTGACCCTCGAGAGTGAATTTCTTCACACAATGATTCCCACCAACTACAAACACTGTGTTATCAGAAGAGATGGCAACTCCTCTTGGTTCAATAAGTCTGTTTTCCTCTTCTCCTGTGTTTCCAAACGATTGCAACAGCCTGTGATTGCTGTCAAAGACTTTCATACAGTTAGCATTTCGCTCACAGACAACGGTTTCCCTAGTTTTGGCAAAGGCAAGGTGACGTGGTCGGTTTATTTTACCAATTGTCTTGACATGAATACCTCTAAAGACGGTTTCAAACTTCACTTCTCCTAATGTCTGACATGCTGAACTCAAGTCTGCACACACCGCACTAATCTCCTTCTCTGGACCCAACACCAGTTGCTGAGGTTTGAACTCCTCTACCATCTCCCGTGCCCTCTCCTCCACTTGTCTCTTCATCGACAGCACCTCCTCTTGTGTGCCATTCTGCAGACTCCCCTCCACAAACTCTACGCAGCTGCTCAGCTGGGCCTGCCTCAACTCGTGTCCGTCAATCCGGGCCGCCAGCTCCTTCTTCCCCTGACACACCTCACCATCTATCTGGGAGTGAAGCTCCCTCCTGCGAGCTACTAGGATGGCCTCGAGCTTGTATACTTTGGCATCTACCTGTGCCTTGGCCTCTATACCCTGTCCATCTAGCCTGCTGGACCTTGCCTTCAGCTGTGCAATGGTGCCTCCTACACTAGCAAGTTCAGATTTGACGGGACCTAGGCAGGCAAGGATGGCATCTCTGTACTTGGGGAAGGCGTCCGGGACGAGGTCATAGTTGTGGTCGCGATGGGTCTTGACGGTGCAGTCGCGACATATCAACTCATCACACGTCTCGCAGTAGATCTTGATGGGCTCTGTTGTGTGCTTGGAACACATGGAGCTCACCTTTTTGGGTGTCACCATTTTTGAGGCTGTTTCTTGAACTTGGTCGAGGGTCGAAATTTCGTGCCCCTGCAATTCCTTCCATTTACGATGTGTAATGAGGCAGTGCTGGCAAACGAACTGGCCGCAGTCCCGACAGAAACCCTTCACGTCTCCCTCCCCACACTTGTCGCACTGTGCCTTCTCGGGGTCCCGCACCTTTTCCAAGATCTCCCTCACCTCGAAAAGGTGCTGGATGTAGAAGGCGGAGGGGAGGCTTGACACACCCCCTTCGGGGAGAGGGGTGGGCTTGCGGCAGTTGGGGCACAGGGCGCTCAGTTTGTCTCTCTGTGTCCCCACCAGTTTCTCCAGACAGGCCTCGCAGAAGACGTGGAGACAGGGCAGTACTCTTGGTCTGCGGTACTCCTCCAGACACACCGAACATGACAGCTGATTCGATAGCTTCTCTAGCACTTGCTGAGCTGGATTTCCAGGCTTTTCGGTTGTTGCTTGCGGTTTTCCAGCCATTACTACTGAAAGCACAGAGATATCTGCACAGACGTACGTACACATATCATTATTGCATAGTAGATAGAGTTTGTGTTTAGTTAAGGCCTCTATGCAACTACCTAAATAAGGTCCTGCCGATTATGCAGGCCTACATCTTTCTTCTACTACATACTACATAGTTTCACACACAGTACTAGTGGTGCCTTACATAGAAGTAGGTACACGTACCATTGCTGCTTAGTAAAAGTGAGAACTCACTTTTTGAACAAGGCTGGCATCTGTGTAGAGTAAGCCACTGATTTCCGTTTTTGTGAGATCTAACTTTTTATTGGTAATTACCAAAAAATAATTATTGGTAATTACAAAAAATTACAACTACGGAAATCGTGGTGCAGGCATCTAATATAAGGCAAGAAGAACGAGGAGAAAATTTTATAGCTTCATCCGGCGCGTGTGTTAGAAGAAACAAGCCGAAAACTGCTTTTCGCGTAAAACGCGGCTTACGCGACCCCGCCTATTTGCGCTTTCGTGAGCAAAAATAGCGAAGACAAAAAAGGGCCATTTGTGGGTCGCTGCATAGCCAAAAGGTACAGCTATCAATCGAGCATACAGTCGCTTGGATCATTCATACTGTTCCCGTTTTGGGAGACTGTCCTACCTTTGATGGCCTTGTCCGAACTTGGCTGTGCCCGAATCGTAACTTTACGGCAGCGTCATTCCCACGGTAAAGCTCGGATAAGAGCGAATATTTTTATACAACAGTTTATGACCAAGAACTACACTTTGGTATACACAGTAGCCAATCTAGTCCTGCACAGACTTCACAAATGCGTCCGAGAATACATGCCGTCCGATTATCGGTGGCTTACTCTACCCACTTCATTCTACTACATGGCTTCACACACACAGACACACACAGCTTTGGTGCCTTACCTAAGAGAGAGTGAGAATTTCAAGAAACAACACCGCCAAAAGGCTGTCTGTAATCTCTGGACTGGACTCTAACTGGACTGACTGGACTGACTGCTGGACTACTCGACTGACCTTTCACCGCAGTTTGCGCATGCGCAAGCAATTTCTACCTGTACAGACCGAGTGACCGCACCGGGGTACGACACGTGTAGATATTTTGTACGCTCATGGTCAGAAATCTATAAAAATCAGTTGGAAATCAAGGGAAATCAGCGAAAAGTGGAAATCAGAAATCAAGTTGCCGTGCGCGCGCCACTTTTCTGCTGTTGACTGCATGTATAATTATGTAGTAAACTACAAAGCCGCGCCGACCCTGCTGCGGCGGGCGCACACGCGTTCCGGCCGGCCGGCCACACCCTCAAGAGATCGAGAAATCATTGGAAATCTAGAAATCACTAAAAATCAGTTGAAAATCAGTATAAAACTCTCGAAATCTCTAGAAATCACGGAACTGGAAATCAGTTGAAGTCAGGTGGAAACCTGGAAATTAGAAATCAGTTGGAAATCACGGGTTTTTAGAAATCTCGTCCTAACGGTCCGTGTCGGTCGGACCACGCGCGTTTGGGCGTGGCCGTACGGAGAGTTGCTTCCATTAGCGCGCTCCCAGTTCGGACACGCAGGCACGCCTCGTGTATCCCTTCCAGGGCGAAAAACTGCGAGTGCAGCGCGGGATACTACGCTTCTCCCCGGTTTCATTTTCCGCCCTCCTTTCAGTGTATATTATTATTATTATTATTATTATTATTGAGACTTTATACAGCACACAAAGAGACGAGATGTGAAAGGTAAGATGATAGCAATAGGATGGTAGTGCTGAGGGTCTGCTGGAGGTATACACCAGCAGCCTATGACACATAACTGAACAAAAACAAACATACTTAAGAGATTAGTTCATAGGAGAGAGGTGTCAAAGTTGGGGGAGATCGGGATAGAGCTACACTTAGCACATGGACACAGGTAGTGGAACGAGCATGGATTGTCTGGATTGAAGTTTGTAATGAAACGATTCCGAAAGAGTTCGTAGAGTTTGGACCTGATAGTAGATACGGAGTGATCTAAATTAAGAAGGGGGAGTGAGTTCCAGAGGCGGGGAAGACGGTTAAAGTAAAAGTGACGAATGGAGTTATTAGAAATAGGAGTAGTTTGTCTCAACTTGAAGTGCAAGGCTGAACGAGTTTGGCCAGAGCAGAATGTGACGAAACTAAGAATGTTAAAATGGGCTGATGGCTCTTTCAAGCCCTTTACGAAGAACAGAATATCACCAATTTCAAGGACCATCATTAGTGGCAGGAGATGAAGGTCGAGCAAACGGAGACGATAGTTAGAAACATAGTTGTTAAGAATGAATTTAGTGGCTCGTCTTTGGACATTCTCAAGAGCTTTAATATCTCTCAGAAGGTGAGGACGCCAGATGGGAGAGCAGTAAAGCAGCTTAGAACGAACCAAAGTTATGTAGAGAACCCTTTTAGCCCGGGGGCAGTGAACAGAGGAAAACACTCTTCGAAGTAAACCAAGAACTCTGTATGACTTGGCCATGATATATTCATAATGGTCAGACCATCTGAGATCGGAAGACAAGACGACACCAAGGTCATTATGCACCGATTTGAACGATAGCTGAGATTTGTTAAGATGGTAGGAGTTGGAGAATAGAGCATGGCCACATCTAGGTGGAAAAGAGAGAACAAAACATTTCCGGACGTTGAATGGCAAACTCCAGGTAGTGCTCCATAGGGTTAGCCTATTGAGATCATCCTGTAGACACATACGATCAAAAGGGTTAGAAATTGGTTTAAAACACTTCGCGTCATCAGCAAACAACAGAACTTTAGATGCTGACACTACGTCTGGAAGATCATTTATGAAAATTACGAACAGTAGTGGGCCCAAAATGCTGCCCGGAGGAACGCCAGAGATAACTGGGAGGGCAGTAGAGGTAGCCGAGTTGATAGAGACACACTGAGTGCGGCAGGTCAGATATGCCTTTAGCCATTTCCAAGTATTTCCATTAATACCAATATGCCATAGTTTGAACAACAACTCATTGTGGGCTACAGAATCAAAAGCTTTTTTGAAGTCCAAGTAGATGACATCAGTTTGAAAGGAGGTACTGGTCGACTTTAAAATGTTGTTTACAAAAATGAGCAACTGTTGTAAGGTCGAACGATGGAGCATAAATCCAAATTGGTGGGAAGATATTTTATTGTTCACAAACTCTAGGATGTGGTTGAAAACAAGCCTTTCCAACACCTTCGAACAAACACAAAGGAGTGAAATAGGTCTGTAGTTCTGAACCAAGCCTCTATCACCAGATTTAAAAACTGGTATTACTAGATGTAGACGCCACTCAGCAGGAATGTAGCACTGAGAGAGGCTAAGGCTGAATAGGTGGCAAAGAGGCTTGTATAAAGCGAGAGCGCAGTGTTTAAGTAGCTTAGGGCCAATTCTGTCACAACCTGCAGCTTTCGAAGGGTCCAGAGATATTAATGCGAGGTATACTTCGTCTTCAGTAATTGATATGTCATTGATATTTGGATTCATCTTGGGTAGGTTCTGAGGATCTGGACAGTTGAAGGGACTCCTAGTAAAAATGGAGTAGAAGTATCTGTTGAAGAGGGTGGCTTTGTCTCGATCCCATTCAGCAGAAATATCTCCAAAATAGACACAATTTGGGATGTTATTCTGGCCAGTTATACTTCGGACGTATCTAAACACTTTGGATGTATTTTTAGAGCGGAGGGACATCAGTATATAGCTGGGATTCGAACTTAGACTTGGCAGAGATCAAGTGATGCTGCAACTGATGTTCCAACAGCTCAATCCTTGATGATCTGGCAGTAGAGGGATGAGATTTGAATTTCCTGCGTAGGGTTTTGAGGCAATTGATATGATGACGTAGAGTGAGACAGAGCCACTGAGGGTCCTCCCGTGAACGTAAACGAACCTTAGGAATGTACACACACATAGCATGATATATAACAGACTTAATCATGGTCCAAATAAATTCAACATTATTACTCTGAAAGCAAAAGGAGAAATCAACATCTAAGAGAAAGGAAGAAATGGCATCATAATCTACTTTAGAAAAATCAAATACATACCTCGACTTGTGTAGGCGATTATTCTTCTTCTTTGTAACCTCCACTGCAACAGAGTAGCCTATTGGGTGGGCGATGAGACGCTGAGAGCAGACACCCAACTAGCATGAAGCAGAAGGGTCTCTTGGGTGTGGCTCCACCAGAGTACCTTAGAACCAGCATGGAGTTGCTAGCTATATACAATCATATAACCTGGTTACTTTACCAGAAGGCTACTTAACACCGCCATAATGTACTCCCTTCCAGAGTGTGGGGAGGGTATGGAGTGGTGCAGTCTGCGGAAGACCACCATTGACAACATGACCCAGTACCTGGCCCGCAAGGAGGAGAGGATGCGCCACCAGAGAGGCTCGGCCAATAAGCTCCCCACCAGAGCCGACGAGAAATCTCCACGGCCTCCTCCCGAGAAGAAGATGAAGACTCAAACTGTGACATTGTGATGTGTTTGATCATGTGACTCCCCACATGAATTTTGTGTCAATCATGTGAGACGTCATATTGACTTGCAGCATGAAACTTGAGGGGGGACTCTTTCACTGTTTTCACATGTTTGGTGCGTCATTTTGTTCTGGGGTGTGGGTGGAAGATAGACCAATTATGTATAAAGCAATCCCTGAGAGTTTACTCTCTCGACTTGTGTTTACTAGCAAATCAACATAATTACACGCCAACAATGGCTAACCCTGAGCCCAATCTTCGTATTAACAATGAGACTAGGTTTTAGTATGTCTCCATCTGGTCTCCCTTTGTGTAGCTACCGTTCCCCTTATAAAATCTTTGCAATTGCAGAGTTTGTACTTTTAACTAGTGAACCAGTGCAAATGAGGAAGATCACTCCTCTGCTAATTCAGTACTACACATCGTCACATATTACAAACTAATGTATGCACAATAATATTTCATGCATGTCTGCAGTAGTCAGATACTGAACAGTAATGCAGGGACACATCACACAGACTCATAGAGAGAGTCTCCAGCAGCAGCAGTGGTAGGCTGGGAGGAGGTGGAGGGAGGAAGGGCTTGTGTTACCTCATATTCACCTTCAGCTGTCCTTCCAGTCCCTCTCACTACATCGTAGGCCTCATTACTGGAGGACTGGAACTGCTCTGAGTCCCTGATGGAACAAGGCACAGTTGACAGTAGAAGGAAGTAAAGTCCAATGATAGCACCTCTATTTGTGGCACTTAACCTACAGATATTTCTTTCCTGAGAATATGGGCATTTCTACGCCAGTAGTGTGCGTGGAGGCTGCATAAAAAGAAAAAAGTGTTGACTGTTTTTTATGGTGGTCCATAGTCATGTTACCTTTAGCTCTTTGGAGTCTCCTGATGAAAATGACTATCACCATTGCCTGCACTACAATAGCAGTCACAATCACCACTCCCAACACACCACCAAGAGCAGCCACTGATGCTGATGAATCACTCTTGCTGATGTCTGATGTAGGCAGAGAATGAAGTGTGTGAATATAAAGTACGGTATAGCTACACAGTAGAACCTCCAATAAGAACACTGAATGATTGGACTCAATATGAAATCCTCTCAGTAAAGAGCACACTTTGAGGTCGCAAGCAATCATTATTCTTAGCCATAAAAAAGAGGACAACCTCCCTATAAACGACTTAATGCATGGTTCCATATTCGGAGGTTCCACTTGTAATACATCTGTAGAGAAGGGAAGGTGGAACATGTACAATAACCTTCAGCTGTAGAGTGAGTAAAGGTGGTGGAGGAGTTCCCAGCAGAGTTGAAGACTGTTACAGTGATGTCATAGCTAGTTCCACTCCTCAGACGTCCAATTGTGTAGCTGTTCTGGTCTTTTGGGAGTCGTCCACTAGTCCCTCCCTCAGCATTGCTGACTCGCCTTCTTCTCATCTGCCCTGTTAGTTCCCAGCTCACCTCAGAGCCAGTGGCATCGGGAGGAAAGCTCCAGGAGGTAGTGATGGTAGTGGGTGAGGTCTCAATGTTGTCCATGTCCACAGTTGGTTTCTCTGGAACACCCACTGATGAATGGAGAATGAGTCATTAGACAGAACATATTCAGCAGTGTGTGGCTCTGACCTAGTGTGACTTGAGCTTCAATGGGAGAACTTGTTGGTCTATTTGGAGCCATTGCTACAATGGATATGGTGTATGTCTGTCCATTGGTGAGACCAGTCAGAGTGTAGCTGTTGGTAGAGCCACCATCAATATCCACATCACTGCCTGTGGTGTAGGAGATCCTGTAGCCAGTGGTGTCTCCCAGTGGAGAGGGAGGAGTCCAGGTCACTGTGATACTAGTGGGACCATCCTGGACTGCTGTCACACCAGTAGGAGGTGGGGGACCTAAAGAGATTATGATGGCAGGCTCTGAAAGGGACCAATAATACAATGCTATATAGCAAAAGCAGTTTTTTTTTAGGTTACAGTGGATAGCTGAGAAGAGAATAAGAGAGTGATTGTGAGGAGCACGTGGGCAGCATGCATGTGCTGCTATTTGAACTTGTGCAATAAGGGTTGTTTTCTCAGAGCCTATCACATTTGTGTCGCACCCGTACTGTATGTAAACTATTTACTCGTTATCCATTACGTAATCTTACCATGTCATTCGTATAAAAAAGTGTATGCACATGGAAAACAATCAGATTTGAGACTCAGCCAGAGTCACGGAGAGATGAGCGTTGCCACGCGCAAGGCTGGTCATGCCACATATGCATGAATAACTGGTTCTGGAATGACTGGGTTGGCTTGCTTTCTACAACTTTCTTTGAGCAGGAATGATTCATGCATAATCAGTGCTGTTTGCTAAAAAGAGCACAGTATGAATGGACTTCAACCTCTCACCTGGAGTCTCTACAGGGAGGGTAGTGACAGGTCCAGTACCAGCACCATTGACTGCAGCCACTGACACAGTATACTGTGTGGATGGAGTGAGTCCAGAGATTGTGGCTTGTCTATCATCTACATTAACTCTAGCAGTTCCTTTCACCACTCCATCAGAGGTTGCTGCAGTAACTGTGTAGCTAGTGATCTCTCCATTTCTCTCTAGACAGGCCACCTCTCCCCACTGTAGAGTGACACTGTTAGCAGTGAGTGTACCCACTGTGATTGAGGCAGGAGAACCACTGGGAGCTGTAATAGACTAACACAGCTAACAACTAAGGAACTAGGCAATTGTACTGTCCCTTACCAGCTTCAGTGGTCTTTGCAGTAACAGAGTTACTGACTGGACCTCTACCAGCATCATTAAAGAGTTTCACAGTGATGGTGTACCTATTCCCCTCCTCTAGTCCAGTTATTGTATAGCTAGTGAAGCTGCCAGTCGTGATAATGCTTCCTTCATCCTCATTAGAACAGCCACCTGAGGTGTCTCTCTGCCACTGGACTGAGAAGCCAGTCACCACCGAGTCACTGGGGACACTACCAGTGATGGTGACAGTAGTGACAGTGACTGTTGGAGTTGAGTCAATGTATGGAGCTGATGGAACTGTGGTGGGAGTAAAATATCTGAGTACACACACTAAAAATAGGTTGTTTGTGGGGTGCTCATTGTAAACTGAAACACCTACCTGTGTAAGCTATGACATACCTAAACTAACAGTGACCACCAAAGGTGCACTAGGTAAACCAGATGATGATGTTGCAACAATGGATATGGTGTATGTCTGTCCATTGGTGAGACCAGTCAGAGTGTAGCTGTTGGTAGAGCCAACATCAATATCCACATCACTGCCTGTGGTGTAGGAGATCCTGTAGCCAGTGGTATCTCCCAGTGGAGAGGGAGGAGTCCAGGTCACTGTGATACTAGTGGGACCACGGACTGCTGTCACACCAGTAGGAGGCGACGCAACTGGAGCATAAACAAGTCAATTGCCATTAAAAAACCTAGTCAGCCAGCTTTTACAAATAGTCTACAAGCATTGAGGAACTGTACCGTAACAAAATGCATAATACCTGCTACAAAGATTGTAGAGGAAGCAGATGATGGCTTGTTATTAGACACAGTACAAGTGTATTCTCCTGCAGTAGTCACAGTCAGAGTGTGGGTGTACTGTGCAGTCACTGGGTCATTCAACACAGTCTGGGTTCCTTGGGTGACGGTGGTGGAGTCTCTGGTCCAAGTGACAGTGATAGCAGGTCCACCAGTGGAGATACAGGTGAGGGTCAGCTGGTCAGAGTCAAACGTCACATCTCTTGATATCGTGATGTCCCCTACAGTAAAATGCTATAGTTAAATCAGAGTCCCACCAGAGCCTAATTTTTCATTCCCATGCAATGCCAACTCAAATACGTACTTGATTAGTTAGCTACAAGGTTCGGTGAGAAAATGGGCTACTATATATAACCAGCCACAGCTCTACAAACAAAAATGGCTCACGGTTTCTTCATGTAGAGGGTAATGATTTAATCTATCCATTATTGAAGAATGGAACAATAATTATGAAAAGTAAGGCTTACGTTATAGTTGCTTTCATGTAAGACGTAGGTAACAAAAGCATTTACCTCCAGCAGTATACAGTCCCACATAGACTGTTTCTCTCACTGAAGTGTCATCATAACCGAAGACAGTATTTGTTGGAATATCACAGCGATAGATACCAGTTGCAGAGGTAACATGACTACGATGGCGTAAGTAAACTGTCTTATGCCAACGGGTTTGAAAGATACCGCCATTTCCAGGGAATGGCAATCTTGTTCCATTAGGGAAGTACCAGTCTCCACGATGAGGACCCTGTTCACCACTACAACATGTGCTCAGGTCAGTATGACACTGAACACTGTCACTACCACTGCTATCATTCCCCACTAGTCTGAGGTTCACATAGGAATGGTTGGCCAGAGTCTGGCCATTGAAGGAGACATAAGGAAAGGTCTGAGAGTGGACCTCCACCAGAGACCAGAGGAGACTCAACAGACACACAACTCTCATCGTTCATCTGTTGCACATTCCAACCAAACCTGCCAAGTTTTTATAACCATGGGAAACAGAAACTACCAGCCCTTCCCTCACCTTTAGTCAACAGTGAGGGTTTCTTCATGTCTGGTACCCAATACATAGCTAAGTGTGCAGTCTTGTCATAGTCATTGAGTTCCGCCGCAGAGTATAAGCTGTCAGTTGGACACTTACGCCAGGCCGAACACGACACTTGTGTCAGGTTTCAATGAGTATGGAAGGTGAGAGTATGTGTGGGATGTAATACACACACACACCAGTATCATGTGTAAATGTAAGGTCATTATACTAAAACAGAAAATTAAAATTAGCTGGGCTCTATACTATTTACTTGTCAAAACAGAACTTCAACAGCATTCCACAGATAAAAAGATAGGAGACACTCTAGGTTTACAGGCATTCAAAGAAAGTTTGCCAACTTGAAAAGAGGCACGAGGCAGTCAGCGGGGAGAGCCCTAGGCTTTCTAGATGATATCTAGCAAGTGTCCCCCTGGAGCTCAGCAAACAGACACAGGGCTTTTTCCCCTCCCGCCCCCTTCATGATTATTAATTTTCGTCCCCCGTTGGATCAACCTCTAATGAACGTCGTGTCCAGGAGCTCAGAGCTGGTGGTGTTGCGGCTGTCATCTGATGGAAGGTTCAAAGGTCACTGCCATAGTCACCCTGTCTGTGTCCTCCTGGAGCTGTGCATTTGATTGGTCGGACCGACTGTGGGTGTGTCTGCCCATCAGCAAGACCCTGTGCAGCTGCTGGCAGTTTAGGGTGGAAGGCATGAATATAGCATACTCCACCAAATATTATATTTTTATAGCTGTGTGCTATGATTTTTGGAGCCACAGTTAACTTTATGTTACGTTGACTGTATTCTCTGTTGTCACTGATGATGGTCTGCGTGACTGAATGGTCTTGTGTTTCTGAGATCTACAATTCTGTGAACTGTCAGCAATACAGTTTCATATTTCTCTCCTGTTTCTTACAGTGTCAGAGATGTTCAAGTCCACTTCAGAAAAGCTCAGTAACTAGGATACCTTCAGAGGTAACTACTACAACAGGTTTTTTCTAAGGGAGGGAGAAGCTGTGTGGTGCAGCCAACGTACAAGTGCTGTAGGTTGGTTTATGATGTGACACGGCGGTTAAAAACTTGGCGGGCAGTTCATCCACTGATGTTCTATGTTAGTGAGCCAAAGTGTTACTTTCAGCCTGAGTTATAAATTAAACCAGCAAATATGATGTCGTTTCTGTTGATACCCACTTCGTATGTTCTCACACAAAATATGTCTCTCTTCACGGCAAACATTACAGGTAGTTGCCATAATAATTATATAGTCAGGTAATACACTTTTATAGTTTCTACAAACAGAGTTGCCAGATGAGGGGGAGAGTGAAAGTGGTGATGTCATGTATGTGATAATAGGCGTCCTCTGTTTCTTGCTGCTGTGTGGAACACTAGGAATTATTGCCCTTTCCATCAAAAGGTAGCCCAAAAAGAAGACACCAGTAAAGTTATTGCACCAAGTTTAACATGCAAGTATAGGTCAAAAATCTCTGCAAGTGGTGAAGTCCCAACCTCAACCAATGAGGCATATTGAAAGAGAAAGGGGCAATGAGTTGTTGAAGATCTCTAATGGAGAACCTCCTCCTCGCAGCAGGCCTCTCCCCACAAACCCTTTCCCTCTGTCTGGTGGAACAGAGGAGGAGGAGGACTGTACTACTGCTGTCTATGAGGTCATTCATGGATATCTCTGACTCGTCTAGTTTGAATATTGACTCTAAGATAATGAAAGGCACTGAAGTGCTAACCCTCGGCGCAGTGGGCGTGATTAATTTGTATACACGTGCTAAAGTATACATACTACTAAGCTGCTATATGTCATCATGGGCTGGCTACATCAGTAGGTTAGCAATTGTAGCTCCTTGCCATCCTGTGCACATCCTGATGTCTGAAAGGTGTA